ATCAAGAGTATTTTTAATAATTGATAAAAAAAAAGAAATGTGTGATTCTGACATAATGATAACAATATATTCATGCAAAGAACTCATGTAAATTAATACATTTACAGCTTCAAAAACATTATGACAGGCAGTAGAAAATACCATTTTTCTCAACTAACTCATTTTCATTTCAAAAAATGATTATAAAGAGATCAAATTATACAGAATGAGAGCATTATTTAAACAATAACATTTTACTAAGAAATTATAAGGACTTTTCATAAAGATAAGTTAAACTAATTTTAAAGATAAATCAAGTTCAAATAAAAACAGGCCAGATGAACTCAAAATCCTGCCAATATATGTTTATGAATATTCATTATTCATCATTTTGCATTTATGAAAAAAAAAAAAAAATATATAAAATTAGCAGAACTCTTCACAGTGAAACTGACAGCCTTCATATATACTATTTGTTTTAAAATAAACATAAAATATAAATACAACATCCTATTCACAACTAAAGATGAGACTTCATTAAATTGTGCATAGTATTTCAAAGGTTCATTCTGGTGTTTACCAGTAAAGACTGCACAAAATTTAAACTTTCGGCTTCTCATTTTAAAAGAAAGCTAAACTCTTAGTGATTTTCCCCTCCATTTTGTGTGTGTGCATATGTGCGTGTGTATGTACGTTTTCTGACTTTTCCTTTTTGCCTTCAAAAGACACTACACATGTACCAAAGCTGTTTGTATTTTACCAATTTGTATTAAAGGAAGAGAGTACTAATAGAAGGAATGGCTACTTAACAAAAGGTTCAGTAACTCAAGCAAAGCTCAAAAGAGATTTGGTCAGCTGAAGTTGGTATGAAGCTGATGATGTTCATCATCATCATCATCATCATCACTCATTAATGGATAGATTTAGCTGTCAAATAATAATATTAATAATTGGATTCATTCAAGGTTTTATTACCTTGCTTTGAAAAGCAATTTATTCGGGCATAAGTATTTGATTGTAGCCTCCCCATTAAATCCAGAGTTGGTACTGACTGGAGGTTGGGAGAAAGTGAATTGCATCTCTTCATCATAGCTTCACTTATAGGTGGGCAGAGAGAAATAAAAAGAAGAGGAATGAGAAGAAAATGAAAGAGAATAAATCTATCAGAGATAGAATGATAAGCAGAGGGACAGGGGAAACTGAATCTGAAGAGCCAACATTTAAAGCCAATATTATTCAGTAGTTTAAAACACATATCTCTAACAGATCTGGCAATAAGATTTTCCAAAGAACATGCAAATATTAGATGATAAAGTGACTTCAGAAAAAAATAAAGACATTTCTCCAGTTTAAACAAGCTCTAAAATTTGATAATATAAAAAATCTTCTTGCTGCATTTGTGAAATTACACTATTAGTTTTTTTTTCAATATAATGAGTGATATTAATATTTATTTCAATTCTTATTAATATTTCAATATTCACAAAAATAAATGTGGAAAAATGAGCCCAAAATGACTATACCCCTAATATTTTATGATAGTACAATTTTCTTAAACACAGAAAATAAGTCCAGTATTAAGAAATTTCTGTTGAAAATGTATTTTCAATTGATTTCTGATCAATGAGAGACAATGGGTCTCAGTCTATGTTTTATATATTTCACACTTGTACTCTAAATTGATTGTTAGATCAATAGAAGACTAAACTACACTTGCACTCCAAATGATTTCTTGCAGATTAGCAAGATTAAAAAAATCAAATTGTCCATTGTTATTTTAAAATATTTCTCTGTTTTAAAATGAGTTATCTAACTGATATTTTAAAGAACATTTTTCAAAAATTTATTTATACTTAAAAGTAAAATTGAGAACAAATCTTTGAAAACTCTTTATAATTATGCAATGTATATTCTTAATCCTGAAGACTAGAGAGGCTTATGTACAAGACTTGTCAGATAAACTAAAAATTGATTCATCAGTCTAGGCTGCAGCCTTTGGTAATGGATGAAGAATAATGTGTGAGATCTATAGTATGATGTCTCTGTCAGCAGAGAAAGTAAGCGAGGGCCAAGCTTTGGATTAGAGTAGATGAGTTGGAGAAACAGAAGTGAGCAAGGAAAGAGAAAATAGAGAAATAAAAAAAAAAGAAAGAAATGAAAAAAAAGAAAGAAAAAAAGAAAGATAAGAATAATTGAACAGTTTGAAAAAGTGAAGGAATTATATTATGAAAGTGGAGAAAGAATTAATAATGTCAAAAGTGAAAAAGAAAAGGAAGGAAAAAAAGAATGAGAAACTAGATGCAGCAAGCATGTAATGAATTATTGAATTGGAACATTAGAAATAGATGAAAAGGCTGAAAACAAAATAAAAACTAATAGGTCACTACAAGTCAATAATAAAACAAATGGATGAAATTCCTGTGTACAGGCTTATCAGTTTGGATGGGTGAAAACAATCTTTAAACAATGAACACATTAAAGCATAAAACTACTGAATTCATAATTATATATATATATATATATATATATATATATATATATATATACACACATACAGAGAGAGGGGGGGAGTTATTTGAAATATTTGTAGGCTTATATTGAAGAGCCCAACCAGTTAACACGTACATAGTTATCCATGCAGCTACTAATATAAGTGACACTGTGATATAAGTACTCACAATGTAATAGAATTTTATATATATATATATATATATATATATATATATATATACACACACACCTAATAGAAAGCTTATGAACTATTAGGTTACCAGACAATTATTCAAGAAATGAAAGTAACCCCCAAAAACATACTTTGAAATATTCTTTTATTTTTTTCATAGGTTATATTATTACAAAAATGAGACAAGCAAGATGACATATCTGCACAAGGAATTGATATGCAGATAAATAATTAGAAACACAATAAGTATCATTACAAATATTTGCATATGGACATCACTACAAAAAAAAGAAAAATCTATTTATATTTGAAATAGTAAACAAACGAGCAAGCATAAAACAAAACTCCCCCTTCTTTTTCTGTTTGTTTGTTTTTAATTTCATGGGCTGTACTCAATAAACAGAATAATTTTGCCACCCATGATCACAAGATGGAAATCTATCACTAAATACATCACACATGTTGAGATCTGTTTATAGGTTCAAATCCCACAGCTACCTTTTTACATTTATTTTTCATAAAGTTCATAAATGAAGGTAAATATGTGTTGCTCATATGTATTTGTAAGTTTTTCTTTTTAATCAATTCAAGGTGATAATGCTGCTAGATGAAAGAGAATGAGAAGACTTTAGAAGGAACCAGAAAACCAATCCTAAACAGGATACAAGGGATAAACCTCTACTTTGAAGATAAACCTCTACTCCTGTTCAAAAGACAAGGAAGGAGTGTGAACTGGATGATAAACAAACCTATCAACTCGTTCTCTGTGTATTACATACACAGGCACAGATATATATATATATATATATATATATATATATATATATATATATATATATATGTGTGTGTGTGTGTGTGTGTGTGTGTGTATGCGTGAATAATTAATTGCTGCAGATCCTAAATATCTTAGTAAATGATCCAGCACTAACTCTATTGGAATTTATTTTCTTTAGTCTCATCATCTCTTATCTTGATGGCCATTTATCCTTGGCAAAACATTGAATCCAGGTGAGAGATGTAACTGCAGAACAGCCACCTGACCACTTCTGGATAAATGAAGGTCAAACCTGATGCATCCCACTGAGGTAATTAGTTGGCATAGCAACCATGGATTTTTGTGTAAAGCTAGCAACACTGCTTGCTTCATCCATGTGTCCAAGCAACAACTTCACACTATCCAGATGATGTGTGTGTGTGTGTGTGTGTGTGTGTGTACATATGCACCTCAGTCTGTGTGTCTTTTGTTGCTAGGAATGATGTAGTGAGAGCTGTAAGTGATTTGATACTGACAAGAAATAAACCTTGCTCATAGTAATGAGAGCAATTAGAGTAGTTAACCTAGTAGCAACACTATCGGTAATATTGAAAATAAAAATGTATATGCTTTGACAAGAAGTAATCAACAGTAGTTTTGTGATTTTATTTAGATAAAATATCAATAAAAACTTTAGGATGTGTTATGAATAAGTTCAAAGAAAAGAAAGCTAAATTTCAAAATAATAGATATCACATTTTTTTAAAATATCTAATTGTTTTTGATAAATTCTTTGTAAAGACACACAACCAATCGAGTTGTGTGTGTCTGTATAAATAAAAAGAAAAAGGAAATCTTACTCCTTAGCCCTTTGAGCCTTGACTACCGCTTTACCAGTGGTAGAGAAAAATGGCGTAATGCCCAGCCACCAGTTGAACAGTTGGTAAACACTTGTAACTATTTTTTATATATACTGTGAAACATTACATACCAATTATTTGTGAATTTTGACTCAGAAGCTCAGGCAGAAAGATTAAAATTGTTCAAGAATGCAGGGGTCAAAGGGTTAATAATATTTCTCTTTTCTTATTCTTTCACACTCCTTTGTATCATAGGGTGGCTTTACTGCCTTGCATGGGGTGAAATGGTTTAAAAAAATACATATATGTCTTCATATTTGAATTGTTTTTTATTCATTAAACTTTATCATTTGTAACAGGAAGAATAAAGCACACAGTAGAACTCAAAGTTAAATCTATGATTCACACAAATTCTCTAATTCAATGGAAGCTCTTCTTAAATCTTGATACAGACATAAGAATGAACATTAATTACCTATATAATCTTTTGCCTTTGTTCAGATATTCAAGAGGACATTTTTATGAATTTTCTTTAATTTTCTCATGTAGCTCTTCCTTTCTTTTTGATAAAACATTCATTTTAAAATTTCTATTATTAATTTATGATTTTTAGTAATGTGACCAATGCCTTTTCTTATTTAAACAAAATAAAGAAAATGTGATGAAAGTTTGTATCTACTTACCGCTCAGATGATTAACTCACAAATGGCATTAATTAATTAACAGTTAAATATAACAGAGGCAAGATGCTTCGCAGAGTACCTATAAAAGAGAAAATAAATACAAAAACTATTAAGAAAAAATCAAATAGTCAAGGCTACATATGTTGGTAGATCAATAAATCCATCACCTAATGAGGAAAACTAATTTTTTTTTACATAAAATGTATTTTTTTTGTCATAATCTCCTACATTGACAATGCCTTTAATTATATGATGAATATTAATAACATAAAAGGAACATTATACAGTGAAAATTTCAGATCAAAATTCACCTAATAACTATGTGCTGGTGATGGATTTATTGATTGATTCCTGTATACATAAATCAAAATCGTATGAAACAGCAGTAAAAAAAAAAAAAAAAAAAAAAAAAAAAATAAATAATGAATGACTGCCGTGCCGGAAAGATTACAACATAATCAACAGAAACATTTTCTGTTAAACACATGTGCCAAAAGGTTAAAAAGAAAATCTGTTTGGGTAGAGGGTGCTAAAGATGAGGGGTTAAAAGCAAAGGGAGAAAAAAGAGAAGTAAATGATAAATCATTTAAACAGTAGTAGCCATGGCAAAAAAGGGGAGAGATAGACATCTGATATCTATAATCCAGACCACATGTGTACAGTTTAAGTTGAAGGCTTCACCTCTTTCTGCTGCTCTAATCAGAAAAAGGCTTCCCTGAACAATGATGAGTTTGAGCAGAACTAAATGAAAATCAATTTGAAACTAGTCTATGTGACTTGCAATGACCTGCAACAAATATAAATCACACATTCTGTGTACATGTATAAAAAAGGAGAAAAATGTTTGTGCTTTATTTATATTGGATATTTTTTAATAAAATATAAAGTCGACTCACAATATTTACTCAACTGAATTCATGATTTATATGAATAAATGCAATTGTTTCAAATATTCCTATAATTTCAAGTTTTGTGTGAAGGCATCCCAGGGTTTTGAGCACGAAATTGCTTTTATAAATCATTCATTTAGAACTTCTATTTCTGTATAAGTTTATCAACTAATATTAAATATATTAGCTCAGAAAAATTTTCTATAATAAAAGTAAATCTTCCAGAGATTCATTTTCTATAGAATTCCATCTGTTTTCATGAAATGAGCCACAACTATTCCATTAAGTAAGTTTAAGAGGAAAATAGAGTTGGAGAAACTTATTAAGGGTTGAGTTTTTCCCAATAGTGATAAAAAAAAGACTTTACAAAGGAGTTATCTCCCCTAATTCTGAAAAACGTGTACAATCTGTTTTCAGCAGAGATTTTATTCATCCTTATCAATGAGTCACATTATACAGTGAGTCTTTTAGAATAGCTTTTTTTTCATTTTTGTTGTCTTTATCTTCATATTTTGACTACTATACTCACCCACCCAGGATACTGAAGCAGTGGGTTTTGTGAGCTTGAAACCTAATGTTTATTCTTCCTTAAAATAAATGTAAAAAGGCACTCTTCAAATGTTATATGGGACATGACGTGGTTGATAGAACTGTTAAAGTTCATCTAGAAGTCATGAGTTCAGTTCTTTTCTCAGGTAGAACAGAAATGCATCTCATTTTAATGAAGAAGCAGAATTGATAGTTATGTGTTATGAAATTCCTTTGAGTGTGCACAGGATATTACAAATAAAAGAAAGGTTCTGTTTGACATTTTTGGAAGGTTAATGACTACAACAAACATCTGAGAAAGGTTGAAGGGTATCTCTGATGAAACAGCTGAATGAAAACAAAGATAAAGAGAGAATCATTATATAATAATAACACATCTTGTAAATTTAACATGCTTTATGTCATATAAACTTCTTTACACTCTTAATATTGTTTAAAACTACTCCCCGGCCTTTGGAACAGGAGGTAAGGTTTAACCCTTTTTTCAGTTTATGATTGGGTTTCAAGTTCCTTCTAAAGTTTTCTCATTCTCTTTCACTTTCACTCCCATTAATCCTTGCATCTTAGTGGCATTATTGCCTTGCCTGGGATAAATTGATTAAAAAAAAAACAGAATATCTTTCACCTAAAAGAACATTACTATTAACAAAATCCCATTTCTATCCTCATTGCAATTCAATATCACCAAAGATGATGAATTCAGGAGTTTTGAAACTGAAGAAATATTCAAGAGATCAAATGCAATATAAAATGTAATAATATACAGTAACCACAAATATAAGTTTAAAATTTTAGTTTTCAATACCCGTACCAACTAAAAATAAAGATAAAAAACATTTGGCAGACATATTTTCTTTCTTTTGAACAAGAGTCTTCTTTATTCATTGGTTAAACTTGACAGAAGTGTGGCTGTTGACTGATATTAGTACAAAAGTAAACTTTCCAAGTGAAATTTCATATATTTATCCTACATTTATCATAAATAAAGCACATACCTTTGAAAGGTGACTGTAAATGTCTACACAACAACCTATTAGTGTTTTATTCTGTTCAATAACTGTTCCATTATACAATAGACTCTTTTGCATCAACTTGAGATTTTTTTTTTTACTCTACCATTGCCATTAACTTGAATTAATAAATTTGGTTGATAAAGAAGCTTCCTTCTTGTCCAATAATAAATATCATCAATTTCTCTATCAGCAACTGTTTGGTTCTGACTTCATTCTTTTAAATTTAAAGAAAATTGGTAAACAATAAAATAGCATTGAATATGACCAAACTAGAAAAAAAGAGAAGTATATAAAGAATATATATTTTTACCAAGAACAAGACCATTAGGCTTAGGAATACAGAAACTTTATTCTACATATGCTCTATATGCTTTGTATTAATTAAATAAATATGAGATCAATAGGTCTACAGCTTGGCATGTAGTCATTAAATTAAGTTTCTTATCTGAAATTTTCATTACCTAATTTTCAATTTATATGATTAATATTCACCACTGAATTAAGACAAAGAAGGTAATTATGCTGAAAATATTTGTTATGTAAAATAAATACTTTTTTCTTCATTAGATGGCCAACCTACTGATATACATATGAACATGTGTGTGTGTGTGTATATATATATATATATATTATATACATACATACATACATATATAAAACAACTGGCACACAATACTAATTGCACCTTATTTAGCAACAGAAATAATGTGCTAAAAGTTGTTTAAAATAGAAAGATGCTGACTTGAATTCCAATCACATCCCTTTCACAGGGCTTGGAATAAACACTACTACTATATAGACATCACACAACTACATCTTAAACAGACACCTATGAAAAGAAATTAACAATACTTAACAAACACCTCAAAAATGGCTAAAGATGTTGCAATTTTTATACAGCCTTACACCCAACAAACAAAAAATTTTAAGACTATTAGAAAAATTCTATAAAAAAATTTATCAAATTTTTCTTGTCTATCATATTCAATGAAGCATATTTTAAAAAAGATTGATGCCCAAACATACATACAGCACACACACATATATATATATAGATATCTCAAGTGGTATCAATTGTTATAGAAAACATCTTTAATAATAAATGAGTTCAGTTACAATTAAGAAAAGCTCTTATAAATATGGATCTACATCTTTTGACTTATCTATTCTATTAGAAGTTTCATATTTTCTTTAGATATTGATATTTGAAATCTTATATTCCTCTATAATTATTACTGCCAAGGTTAGAATTCTGAAAAATGTTCTACTGACCAATATCTGCAACCATTTTCCAAAGTTGATTTTCTCTTGCAGCACTAATTTTGCAAATCAAGACCAGCCAGCTGACGCTTGCATGAATTAACATGTCCCAAGTTTTATACCTTTACACATTGGAGTCATACAATATTAAGTCAATTCTAAAAAGTAATCAGTAAATAGAGGGATACAAAAAATATGGTTTAAAAATAAGACCAAAAATTTGTAAACATTTTCCAAACAGCACACTTTCACCTTATTTAGCACTAATTTTATACTAAAGTTTTTAGAAAGAAATTTTAAGTGGAGGGAGATTTTATTTTGTACATCATTTCCAAAACAAGTTCATAATTCAAACATTTTAATTTATGGTTGTCAGAGTGATGTGGCCAAGTTATTCGACAGTAATTCTAATATTTGCCTTGTTAAAAAGAAAAAGAAAAGCAGACAGATTTTTTCTTTTATGTTTTTTTAAATCTAAATAACAAATGACATATTTGAATTCTGTTTTATAGACTCAATAACAATATGAACCAATCACTGATATTCTAATTAATGTTGTTGCCATATATATAATTCCTGGGGGAAATTTTCCTACAGTGGGTTATTTTTTTTAAATCTCTGAAATTTGACACCTATACAAGAAAGCAATTAAATTTAATATATAATCAACATAAGCTAACATTTTTTATTGCACTTTTTAGGAACTAGAGTGTTTGTATTTGTAATGTCTTGAGGTTAGTGGTGGGTTTCAATCACAGTAGGAAGAAAATTGAGTTTATGTTTTGATGCAATTAATATAGTCAGAGCAACCATTTACAATTATCAAATTCAGATAGAACATAGATCATGAGAGTGACAATGGTGGGGTCTGAAAACAAGAAAATGTAATGGCTTGTTCACAGGAGAATCTTTTGGTGAGCAATGGTTTATCAATGATGGTGAAGGAGAGAGGTATTATTTATTCTCTCTTTATATCCTTACATATTAACGAAAAATATAAAGAAAATTATTTTAAAACAACAAAAATAACCCACACCTTTGAAAATTGTTGTGAGCTAAATAAGTAGATATACCTAAAATTTTCTCCCCTGACTTAAGTCTAATAATTAAACATAAACTGGATTGCCATAAAAAGATTATCAAAAGTAATAGAATTTAAAGGGAGATAATCAATGAACAACTTGAATCGAAATCTGGTTGTCATTCAATAATTCAAAATTCAAATAAAAGTTAACATTACTGCAGTTTATAAACAACTGAAATTCCTGTTGAAATAAGGAATCTATTTTTGCTAAGATAATAGGTTTTATCAATATTTATGACTTTGCTCAATTAGAAGATATAAATAATTCTTATTTGGAATAAAA